ATATGTAATTAAGGTTTTAAATTAAAATTCAACTCTGGTGAAATGAAAAAAGGTAAAACTGCAGACAATATTGGCAAAACATATAATTTTTGTTCGTATCATTAGAGTAATTCTCCCGGTAATTTGATTTAAATACTTTCTGTTGAGGGTTTCTAAGAAACAAAAAAGTACAAAGGTCTAATTTTCTGTCACCTAAAATCTCCAGTAAACTTGATCTTTTTTTACTCCAAATCTCATTTCTCTAAGAGAATAAGTACTACAAGTAAAGACAGAGTTCCCGCCACTTACCCCTTTCCCATTATCACCTCCACAGAAGCAACCACTATCATTAATTTGATGCTTATCTTTCCAGTTTGTTTTTTAAACTTTTGTGTAAGCATCAGCCTAATTCATGGTATTTTGTACTTTTAAAAGTCTATATAAATGATATGGTAAATCTTTTCACTTGCTTTTCTTTGCTCCATGTTATGTATTTGAGATCTAATTTTATTGGTTATTACATATATATGTGATTTATTCCCTGTAGTTAGTGCTAGCATTTGAATAGGGCATATTTTCTCTGTTCTCTGTTAATAGGCATTTACATCGTTTATAGTTTTTGCTAGATAATCTAAATGTAAGGCAACTTTAAAGCAAATATTTTAACCATATTTTTAGTAGACTATTTTAAGAAGATTTGACCATGATATTTAAATTATTTTTTGAGAATAGTACATGAAATAAATGTCCTTTTAAAAATTATTATAAGTACAACCTGATATTTATAAGCTTTTAATGACTTGTTTGTTAATTTTGTGATTATTTAATTTGACCCAAATTGCTTATATCTTCATGAGTATTACCTGCCAGGGCATAGTCTGCCAAATTGGTTGTTCAGAATATAAAATATAGAGTCTTTTTCTTCAACAGCACTATTTTAGCAAGGAGGCAAAGAATAAAATCAGCTTAAACACAAGTAATGCTTAAACTTCCTGCCTCTTTTGCCTCTACAGGAAAGAAGAAAGAACACAAGAAAGCGAAGTCCACTAGGGATTTTGTTCCTTTTTCTGAACTTCCAACTACTCCCTCTGGTGGATTTTTTCAGGACATTTCTTTTCCTGAAATCTCCACCCGTCCTCCTTTGGGCAGGACTGAACTACAGGCAGCTAAGAAAGTACATACTTCTAAGGGAGACCCACCTAGGGAGCCTCTTATTGCCACAACCTTGCCTGGCAGGGGACAGTTGCAGAAGTTAGCGTCTGGAGGAGATTTATTTATTTCCTCCAAGTCTAGCCGTGGTAGGTGTTTAGAGAAAAGTTCTTCGTCATCTTCTCAGCATGAACTCGCTGCCATGTTGGTCTCTACTGCAGCCTCTCCTTCACTGAGTAAAGAAACCACCACTACTTGCTATAAAGACATAGAAAATATTTACTGTGGAGAGAAAAGTGGAATTCAGCCATTATGTTCTGAGAGGTCCCATATTTCAGATCAGTCGATTCTCTCCAGTGAAAGGAAAGCACTAGAAGAGTCTGAGAGATCACAAGTAATTTCTCCACCACTTGCTCAGGCAATCAGAGATTATGTCAATTATCTGTTGGTTCAGGGTGGGGTAGGTAGTTTGCCTGGGACTTCTAACTCTGCACCCCTGCTGGATGTAGAAAACATATGGAAGAGAATTGGTCAATCTAATTTTCAAGAAACTGAATCCCTGTCACCTCCACGAAAATTCCCTAGACTCGATGAGAAGTCAGTAGAGGAAAGGGATTCAGGTTCCTTTGTAGCATTTCAGAATCCACCTGGATCTAAACTGTCTTCTTTTGCCAAAACTGCTATCTCTAATTCACTCGCTACCTTAGGCATAGAAATGGCTAAGCAATCACAGCTGGATAAAATAGATGCCTCAGAACCATCCTTTCCCTTCCATGAATCTATTTTGAAGGTAATTGAAGAGGAGTGGCAGCAAATTGACAGGCAGCTGCCTTCATTGGCACATAAGTATCCGATTTCCTCCAAAGAGGCAACACAGATATTAGCAATTCCAAAAGTAGATGATGAAATCCTCGGGTTTATTTCTCAAGCCACTCCACCAGCAGGTATTCAGGCAACCTCCACTGAGTCTTGTGGTAAACAGTTGGACTTAGCACTCTGTAGAACATATGAAGCTGCAGCATCAGCATTACAGATTGCAACCCACACAGCCTTCGTAGCTAAAGCTATGCAGGCAGACATTAGTCAGGCTGCACAGATTCTTAGCTCTGATCCTAGTCATACACAGCAAGCACTTTGGATTCTAAGCAAAACATATGATGCAGCCTCATTTCTTTGTGAAGCTGCATTTGATGAAGTGAAGGTGGCTGCCCATACCATGGGATCTTCCACTGTAGGTCGCCGACATCTCTGGCTGAAGGATTGCAAAATTAAAGCTGCACAGATTCTTAGCTCTGATCCTAGTCGTTCACAGCAAGCACTTTGGATTCTAAGCAAAACATATGATGCAGCCTCATTTCTTTGTGAAGCTGCATTTGATGAAGTGAAGGTGGCTGCGCATACCATGGGATCTTCCACTGTAGGTCGCCGACATCTCTGGCTGAAGGATTGCAAAATTAATCCAGCTTCTAAGAATAAGCTGACTGTTGCTCCCTTTAAAGGTGGAACATTATTTGGAGGAGAAGTATACAAAGTAATTAAAAAGCATGGGAAAAAACAGTAATAAAGTTAAGAACAAAGACATCTATGTTGTCTTTGGTATGGGGAGCTTAGAAGGTTTTCTAGGAAATTCAGGTACTTTTATGCCAAAAATTTTTATCTTAACGTCTTTTTAGTCTCTAGATTGGGCCAAATTTCAAGGTGCTAAGCTTCTATCCATCAAATTACAATATAGAAATAATGAGCATAGTCTTCACTGTTTTTGATAGTACCATACTCATTCTCCTTTATACCCAGGATGGAATTAAACAGTTGTAACACATTCAAAAGAATGATTTCATTCTTTTTGATACTCTCATCTAAGTATCTTTCTACTTTCTAAAATTTGTTCACATTTTTGCTCTCATTTTCTTTTGTTTCATGTTTACTCATGTTGGCAACATCATTTATATTATTCTAGATCATTGCAGCTCAGAGTGCCAGTCCAAAAATTGTTACTGATCCACAGACAAGATAAGCATGCACAGGGATTTAAATCTAGAGACACTTTTAGGTCACTGACAGGATTTTTTTGTAGTAAAATGCTATTGGTAGTGAAAGCAAGATATTGGTTTACATTCTGGTGCAAGTGCCTCATTTCTTCAGGGACTTGGTAACAATTTATGGACCAATGACAGTCCACGGACCATGCTTTGCAAAACACTGCTCTAGATGATAATAGATATTCTGGGATAGTGTGTGCTCATTACCACTCTAGTTTGTAAGAAGAACTAGACACGAAAGATGGGGCTTTTTTTTTAACAACATAATACTTTTCTTTCAAGGTATATTATATTTCATGGGTGATTAGGCTTAACAATCTAGGCACAAAAAACAAATTTGAATTATTATTTTTTAAAGCCGTAAGGAACTATATCCCAGTGTCTGTATGTCTGTACGTAAAGCAGTGTATTTATCCTTTGTTTTCATTACTGTGATTGTAAGATGAGTCTAACTATAGAGGCATTTGATAGTCAAATTTCTTTGCATTTTTATGGAAAATAGTAGTCTTAAGTATAACAGAATATGCTCCCTTGAGTACTTTTCTAGCCATTACCATATTCTTAGACTATATATGTCCATCTTTGCAGCTTTCTGGGACTAATTTTGTTATTTGTCTTCTGAAATGTACATGTATACATGTACCTACTAACTGCTATGTTATTTTTAAACATGTATTACTGTAGAATGCTTCTGCAAATTCAATAAAGTTGTTAAGTTGAAACAGTTTTGTGTGGTCTCCAGAAACATGTTGTATGTGTGTTTTATTCTTGGAGTTAAAACAAGTTAAATATTTGTGAATGAAGATCCCTTTTCCATTTCATCATTGAAACTCACTTGA